GGGGGGGGTGAAGTGAGAGAAATCCGAGTCAAGTTTGTTTTTTCTCACTGGCATAACATTAATTGGGTTCTAGGTAGGATTGGAACCCACGCGGTCAGTAAAATATTTGGGAAACTGCGCCAATCAATGTTAAACTAGAATGATTTGGAGGAATTTTGACGAGCGTCTGTGGTGTAGCGGTTAGGCAGGCACTTCGCTGTTGCACGCATGAGACCCGAGTTCGATCCCCGAGTGAGAAGAATGTCTGTAATAATGAGTATCTCGGTCTTTCTGCCAGTTTAGTCTTAACAAGTGCTTTATACGGAAAAGTAAATTAAAAGTAAGTACTGCACTTGCCAAACAATAAGGTCATATAAGTACCGAAGATTAGAGGTGTTACAAGAGAGTAACATACACAAAAAAAGAAGTAGAAGAGATAAACACGATAGATTTTTGTTAGGAAAGAAGAAACAAACCACCCCAGAGCACCCTCCAACCACCCACTGGTCTTTCTGCTGGGATCTTGGGGGCAAGTTGCCAGTGTAGGTGGGTGTTTTATATTGGTGGTGGTGACGATGATGATGATGGTGATGATGGTGGCGCTCTATTTATGCTGTTACTGTTGCTGCTGTTGCGGTTGCTGTTGTTGTTGCTGTTGTTGTTGCTGTGAGTGTGAGGACTTTGCCAGGACGTGTTTCACACCTCTCCACATGTCACTCTTTGTGTGAACATCGCCACACACGGACATTACAGTCAGACTGACAAACTGTGAGTTTTTGAGTTACCGCCTTCTGTCACACACACAGCGAACAACGCGCACAGTGCTATGGAGACTCACCCAATTGGGGATCTTTAAAACAATTAAATTTTGTCTTCTTTTAAAAAAAAAAGGTTTTAATTCGTTTCTCCATTTGAAGATGTTAGCAGTAAGAAAACGTTGAACTGGTCACAGAGTTGTCCCGGTGACACACTGAGAGAGGGGATTTTTCGTGTGACATAATAGGCTACAGGGGGCCGGGGAGAGAGAGAGTTCGTGCCGTGAACGAGTAGACTGGAAGAACGTACAAAAACTAGAAATAGATCTAGAAGGTAGAACTCCTTATGATCAGGAATATCTCTGGACATCTCGAAAAGACTTCAAACTGTCCAAAACAATGCTGCGCGTTAAGTTTTGCAGAAAAAGAAAGCGAGCGTGCTACACCTCTTTTACAATTACAGACACTGCACTGGCTTCCTTTTGAGAAAAGAATTGTGTACAATTTTGCCACTCGGTGTCATAAATGCTTGAATGATGATGCGCCATCATAATTCTTTTTATCAAATCTGTTGAGACTGTCATATTCCAACTCGCAGTTTAAGGTCATCAGTCATTGAGAAAAAGAAATAATTCTCTTACCATCTATGAAACTTAAAACAATGGGTGAAGGGGGATCTGAATATCAAGGCCAAAAGATCCGGAATTCTTAGTCAAGTAGTTTAAGAGAGATCTATCAAATCCTTAAATTTATTCAAATGTCAGCTAAACTCATTTCTGTTTTTAAATTAATGAGACATAAAAAGATAGAGAGATTTTAAGACAGAGCACAATGTACTGTTTATTTGTTACAGTGGTATTGTCAAGCGATCAGAGCCCATGGTCTTTGATCGGGGTGAGCGCTATAAATATTTCACATTATAATAATAATAATAATAATAATAATAATATAAAAAATTATTATTATTATTATAGTTATTGTTGTTGTTGTTGTCGTTTTAGATTTTTTATGTAAGACTTGTGTGTTGAGTAGTTTATCTCTCCTGGTCTTTTAAGAAGCAGAAAATGTCCCCGCTACTTTTAAAGAGAAGAAAATATCCACACTCTGTGTATATAGCAGAAACTGTCTAATAAAATGTCCCGGCTACTAGTATAGAGCAGAAAAAGTCCCCTAAAATGTCCCCGCCTTCTCTGTGAACAGATCAGAAAAGTTCCCCGCTCTGTGTATAGAACAGAAATTGTCCCTTAAAACAGAACAGAAAAAGTCCCCGCTCTGTGTATAAAGCAGAAAATGCCCCCTAAATGGTCCCCGCTCTGTGAATCAAGCAGAAAATGTCCTAACTCTGTGTATAGAACAGAAAATGGCCCTAAAAAGTCCCCTAAAACGTACCCGCTCTTCGTATAGAACAGAAAAAGTCCTCTACAATGTCCCCGCTCTGTGTATGGAGCAGAAAAATGTCCCGGCTACTTGTATAGAGCAGAAACAGTCCCCTAAATATGTCTCCGCTCAGTGTATAGAACAACAAAAGTCCCCGCTGTCGCCAACAAGTAAGACTGTCTTACCTTCCGCTTGCTCAGGGACGAGGTTTCGAACTGAGGCCTGTCAGACGATGGGGCGAACACACTGCGCGGCAGGCGGGGCTGGGCTAAGCTGTGCTGTCCTGGACCTCACACAGGGAATTCTGGGACAGCTGGACCCTGGACGCTCGCACCTTGACCAGATTGATGGGGCTACTACCGTCTTGTGTCCACGCGCTGACCGATCCACCAACCCACTGAGCAGACCAGCAAGAGAAGAGACGGGGGTGGTTTCCTTCTGTGAGACGTAGGGTGAGGTTGTCGGGAGACCACAGGTTTTTTTGGGGGGTGATTTTGAGCGTTTTTAGGCTGCGTCCGTCTGCGGTACTATCGTGTGTCTTGTGTGAGGGGTGGCCAGTGTCTGCTCTGTACTTGGAGGTCGGAGGAGAGGAGGTGGTTTATATACTCCCCGACGGAGAGGGAGGGAGGGAGGAAGGAAGGGAGAGGGAGGTTGGAGGTGGGGCCCAGTGGGTTATAATATACTCCCCACTGGGGAGAAGGGTGGGGGTGGGGTTGGGGTGAGGGGGAGGCTACTTCTGCGCGCGTACGTGAGCAAGCGAGTGAGTGAGTGAGTGGTGCGGGTGAGCGGGAGAGAGAGACAAGGTGAGCGACAGGAGATGGCAGGAGGGGGAGAGGGAGGATACAGAGAGACAGAGAGGGAGAACGAGATATAGAGAGATACACAGAGAGAGAGGTAGAGAGTACGAGACACAGAGAGATACAGAGTGGGGTAGAGAGAGGGGGAGGGAGGGAAAGAAAGAGAGAGAGGGAGGGAGAGAGAGAGAGATACAGAGTGAGAGATACATAGTGAAGGAGAGAGAGAGAGAGAGTGAGAGAGAGAGAGAGAGAGA